AGCTTATTCACTCTTTCTTCTTCATAATTTACATCTCTAATCATTTCAGCTAGCATATCACGAAGTGACTTTGGCATTTTAAAATTTTCAATAAGATATTTTCGATCAGAAACACCCTTAAAAGATCTTGCTGCTTCAATTACTCGATTATTCCATCAATTTTTCGCCCGGTTAGTTTTCTCTTTCTTGTATCGCTTAACCAAGTACGATTTTTCCTATTAGCAGAAGCTAATGCATCTGTCCTATAAATATAATAAACTGTTTAGATGATGATGCTTAGTAATAATATAATTATCTCAGTTCAAAAAAAGTAATAAATGACCTTTTTATATCAGTTCCTAACCACATATCTCTAAAACAGAAGTCTATGCAACTTCCAAAGAGTGCTACAGTGTACCAGTCTTCATAATGATTTCTCATTAGAGGACAATCAGTGTTTTCATATAAATTAACAAGGTTTCTTATGGACAGCTGTATCCACTCATCGTCATAATGTTGATGGATATTATATTTAACATTATCTCGGAGATAAGATGTCATTGAAACTTCGCGTAATTCTTTTAATGTCTTCTTTTTATATGTTGACAACTTTTTTGCGATATCAGTTGGAATAGGGGGAACTCCTAATCGATCAACGGTCAATTCCTGCCACTCAATTTCAGTAAATAATGCCTTAACTTCTTTATCATCATAATCTATAATATATGAGTGATGATGACTAACAATATCTCAGTATAGAATTTAAGTTCTGAGGTGCAAAAAAAAATTACTATTTAAAAACTTACTGCTCATAGTCCATATTTTTACAAAAATCGAAAAGGACATCCTCTACTATCGTTCCTGTGCTTAATTTCATTTTCGAAGAGTTGGGAATAGACTTGTGCGTTTTATGAAAAAACTTTTTGTCGATTTTTGGATAATTGTTCTCTTTATAATCATCCTAAAATATTAATATGAGGGATAACATTATTTTCTTTTCATTCATCAAGCATGAATTCTGTATAACACAAACTTACATTACAACTAAAATTTTCGTCCTCAGATATATTATTTGCGTCAGATTCTTCAGAGTATTCAGACTCAACCTGAAAAGAATCATGCTCATTAGTGTTTATTCAAACTAATATATCTGCACTATTGTACAGTACCTTATCCTTCTCATTCTTTTCAAACATATTTAAAAATGGATTATTTTCTTTGTCAATTATTATTTTAGGATATCCACTTTGAAAAGGATAGATATTGGAATAGTCTTCAGAGGATAATGTTTTTGCATTATGTTCAGCAACTTTGCTGTATACTTTCATACTACCAGTTAAATGTGCTCGCTGCGCTTTCATCTATTTTGCAAGAATTCATCATTATCTCATATAGTAATAAAAAATATTTAATATATAAAAACAAGTGTCATAAAAACCTTTTCTCGCTCATAGATTATTTCTTCCCAATAGATTTGCAAACTCTTATTTGCACGTTGTTTTTTATCTACAGGAATTTGAAGATAAAAATGAGTGTATAACTTCTAATATAATAAGTAAAAACTTTATCTCAAGAAGGAAGGTAAGTCGCAATAGCAGGGCCAGAATAAAAGCTGATACCTCCTAACCTAGATGAAAATAGGTGGAGTTGCCACTACTATTACTCGGGCTGGGACAAAAACCAATACTTCTAATCTAGATGAAAATAGACAGAAGCTCCCTATTATTGCTAAATATACAAACACATCACCTCCTCTTTCAAAGTTGTTGCATAGTCATGTTCCTTCAATTCTTTTGCTTGCGACAAAAATCTACGAGCCCAAGTAAGGTCAAGGACATTCCATTTGTCCGAAAAAGGTTGTGAGAGAAGAACGACATTACGGTTAAGATGTAAAAATTCAGTATAGGAACACTGTGCGTTATCTTTTATGTAGGAGACAAGAACTTTGAAAGTTGTTAAATATCAAGTTAGAAAAGGGTTATTTTTCCTTTTAAATAGACATCACAACACTTACCGTGATAACCAGAGTACGGTTCATTGTCGTTGTTCATGGTCATTCAACTTGGGTGAGTATTTCATACCACAAAGATTGATTATTAAGTACGCGAAAAAAGATAACTGATAAGTCTAAGATAGGCTAGTTGTGGAAGAAACTTTTCTAATATCACGTGGCGGAGTGCAGCCTAACCAGGGACAACATACAAGGAAATAGCCAATCAGAGAGTGCAAACTTTGATGATCTCGGATCAGCCCGATGTAAAATCCGAACACGTGCGAAAGAAGAAAAAAAGGCGACCTTGGTGCACTAATAACGGGAATGAAATTCATATAGCCTCTAACGCTAACGCCCTAATCCTAAATTTCTATTGTCACGTACTTAGTTTATTCTTATATCTAATTTCTTTTTTGGATGCGCAAATATTATCATCCGTTCAATATGTTCAAACTGTTCAATACGCGAATTGTCGATTATTCATACGGATTTTTGTGTAATTCTTTCAAAATATGCGGATCGCAGGTCAAATCTGTACGGATAAGAATTTAATTTTGTGTAATTCGTATTATCCAGATTTGAACGGATTGCACCACTAATCCCAGAACATCCCAAGAAAAAATTGTATAAAAAAAAATTCGACTTAAAAAGCATGTGTGCACTCAAATGGCCACGTGTTTGTGCGTATCGAAATACTGATTGTATGCAAATGCAAAAATACTTTTCTTGATGGATCAAATCATAATCAATTTTTTGTAACAATGTTTGGTTGTAATGAGAATGATGGTCTTGGAGGATGTGCTGAATACTTTTACTTTATGACCGAAAGCTGTTGCTGTTAATGGAGTATTATACTTCGGAGTAAGTAGGAATTAAAGTTGCTGGTAAAACTAAATTGTGCTAACTACCCCAAGAGCACCCCCAAAAATTCTGCAAAACGTGACCACGAGCCAATCACAGTTGAAGATCAGGTGTAACGTAGCACGATCCAAAAAATTAAAAACAACCATTCTTTTTGCCAAAAATCGCCCATAACTCAAAAATCTGCATAGGAAACCATTCTTAGTGTTCTAACAAAAAGTTTTCCTTGAACGATTTTACTATATTTTACATCAACAACAAACACTAATATAATTACTAACCCAATATTAACAACCTTTTAAGAGGTTTATTATCGCAGAATTTTTGTGGGTATTCTTGTAGTTAAATTGTGCTGGTGAAACTGGTGACTACTAAAATCTGATTGGCCATTGCATTCAATAGCCAATCAGATTTTAGATAGTCACCAGTTTCACCAGCAACTCTAGTAGGAATACATAAAATATATAAAATAAGCAATATACTGTAAATAGTGACAATTTTTTATGTATACCAAATAAAGAAAAACCAAGAGTAACTACGTAGCAATTCTTGATAAATCAAGTCTATATGTAGTTCTATGTGCAAATCAGTTGGTAAATAATTTTTGTGTAATATTTATAAATTACTGCGGCAATGTATAGTTTCGATAAATTTCAGTCTTTTTATTATTTTCAGGTTATGAAAAAAAGCCCTCTATTACATTAAAATATGCTATACACTAAACTCTCATGCGAAATTTCTAAATAGATTATTATATAGAATATCGAGAAAATATGGGGTGCCTCATATTAAAAAGGCCTATTTTGACATATAATTTATTTTAAGATAATTGAGTTTAAACATTTGTTTTGATTTTCGGACTGATCCGAGATTAAGCAAATTTCACGATTTTAATTGGTTAAGGGTAGCAGGTGATTATTGGGTAATCTCGTGACATGCTTGGCCTTAGGCAGCATCGTGTAATTTTTCTTTTACATTATCTCCATTTTTTATTATGCAAATCAACCTTCATTCATAATTGAAAAATATCTATTATATTAAAATCTACATGAATTTAATAAAAACTCATTTTTCGAAAAAATTGCAAAATGTGTCTTTTTAATACAAGACACCCATTTTTCACGAAGAATTGCAAATTTCAAATTGTATCTCTTCAACATTCTACATATTAATCTAAGAAATTTTACGTAAAAACATAATGGATAGCAAATTTTAATGAAATTAAGAGCTTTTTTTATATCCTGAAAAATAATGAATTATTATATTCACGTTAATAATCGGCAACAGTATAATTTTGATAAAATTTTAATTACTTTTCAGATTATGAAAAAAAATTCTCTATTTCATTAAAATTTACACGCTTTTTAAATTACTGTGTCTATTGATTTTCATACATCACACCAGAAATCTAGAATAAATGCAAATCTGTGATTGGTTAAAAATAATTTTTAGCCAATTACGTATTGGCATTTTTTCTAGATTTCTGATTTCTAGTGTGATGTATGACAATCAAATCAGTGTAGTGATTGAGTAGATTAGTGGGTTCACCAAAATTCAGCAAACGATCTGCAGATCGCCACCAACCCATCATCAGGATTTACTTATAAATTCGAAAGTTTTTTAAAACTTCTAGCGATGATTTCTTAATAACTATTTGATTGAATTTGGTAAAAATTTTTTTATTTTAATTCTATAATTTTGTAGAATTAAAATAAAAAAAGTTCATTGAATTTGGTTTAGTGGTTATCGAGAAATCATCGCTAAAAGTTTCAAAAAAGCCTAAAATATCTTGAAAAAAAAACTTAAATCAGATAAATTTTTACTTTTTTGAACTTTAAACAAAGATTTCTCGACAACCAACTATCCAAATTTGATGAATTTTTTTTTAT